GGGAGGGGGGACAAGCATGTTTCAGCCTTGCTGCTTCTTACAGAAAAGAGGGCTTGGAAAGGTGGTCGTTTTCTCCTCTGTCCCCCTTTTGTTTGGAGCGGGTGTGCACAGTTGGCAATTCGGACCCATTGGGTTCTGCGTCCAGGGATTTAACCAACTAGGGATCAAAAAGCCTCAAGGGAAAAATGTATGTGTGCTAAACACGTACAGTCCATTCTGTCTTGTCATTATTCCCCAAACTATACAGTGTAATAACTGTTTACATTGGCTTCCGTGTTGTAAGTCAGGCAGAGATGATTTAAAGTATATGAGAGGGTTGTCTGGGCAATATTCAAATACTATGCCATGTTACATAAGGGACTTGGGTACCATGATTTTGCTATTCGGATGGGACCAGCCTCCTGTGGACACCAAGGACAATTGTCCCAACTGTGAAGTGTAGATAGCCCCACTGACCCGGGACTGCTGTTCCTTCCCAATGTGGGTGGGAGATAGAGGAATAGACCCAGACCTCCCAGCCCTGAGGAGGAATGAGTTACACCAGGCGGAAGATAGTGACACACCCCGTGGGTGCCTTCCCAGAAGGGCTTACACACTAATACGTACAAGGGCAGCGGCAAAGCACGCTTCCGCCGTACGGGGTGCTGCTGAGACCTTCCTCTTCATGGTATAAATCTTTGCAAATCCTCCAGATTGAAAAACAAGCTGAGGGAAGCCAGCGTGTCTAGCAGGAGGCATTTCAGCCTGCCTGAGGGAGAAGCAAGAAGTCCAGAGACTCAGGAGCTGAGTGACCCGAAGACCATGCCCCTACAGCCCACAGCCACACATCGTCCTCCCTCCCCACAAGGAGCCCCACTGTGCCCACCGTGCTCTGCTGAGCCTGAACTCGAGCCCTCCTGGCTGTATCACCAGCCCCTACGGACAAACCACGCTGAATACTCACTGCACAAACACACAAATCAACTAACGCGCCAGGGCAAAGAGCCCCCTAGGAGAGCTTGCATTCCAGGATAGCCATGAGAGGCATCCCTAGTCGCTTCTGTAAATGGGCCTCAATTCTGTCACACATGAACAGGTGACCGCCAAGTCCTATGTGGCCCTGCCAGACAGAAGCTCAGCTAGTCTGGCCATTCCCCGCACCCATGAGTAACTCTGATGGTTCCACTAAGTAAGGACAGTCTTCGCCACTTGCTGAAATAAGATCTTCCTGACCCAAAGGGAAGTAATTTCCACAGGTGGCATAAGACCACACCCACAATTTGGCTGGACCTGATGGTCTTCCCTGGAGACCTTTTCCGATCTTTATTTGGAAGTCCCTCTTGGGTTGTGAATTCCACAAGCTCAAGGAGCATATGCGTGGATGGGAGGCAGACAGTTCTAAAATATCCATCCACTTAGGTGCTTTACATTGTAAGGATGTACCTACCAGCACTTGATATTTTTCAACTTCACAACATTTCCTGAAGAGCTGTTGGATGCAAGACCCTCCAGCAGGTACCAGAGGGACCTAGAGGTGAGCCCAAAACCCACCTGGCTTCCTGAGCAGCCAGGCAAGTGTGAGCCAATGACCGCAGCACAGGATGGACATGGCCTCTGAGGTCCCAGAGTGATGAGCGCCAGAAAGAGAAGAACATGGTGGAGTGGGGGTCCAGCAGGCGGAGAGGGGGAAGGCAGAACAAGGCAGAGGGATGACAGGGAAGGTGCTTGATAGAGAAAGGAGGAAGACCAAGGAAGGGCTTCATTTCCAGTTGTTTCAAAGGAGAAGAAAGTGAGAGGAAGTAGCCTGGTTGCAGTGTCTTGAGGACAGGAAGACTGAACGAAGTGCTAATGGCAAGGCAAGGCCGCAAAGAAAGAAGAGGCAACGACTTAGGAGCTCAGGCAGAAGCTTCAGCCTTGAAACATGGAACATTTCTTCCCCCAGCAAAGAGGAGAAATGATTCATGCTTTAAAGAAAAGGAGGGAGGGAAGGAGGAAGAGAGGGAGAGAGAGAGAGAAAGAGAGGGAGGGAGTAGGGAATGAGGGAGGAAGCCAGGAAGGAAGAAAAGAAAGCAGGAAGGAAGGGAGGGAAGGAGGGAGGAAAAAGAAATAATTCTCAGGGGCATGGAGGGCTGGCTCTTCTAAGTGATGGGAAGAGGTATTTTCTGGAGAGAGGAGGAGGCAGGGTCAGCTAGGGCTGGAGCACAGTAGAAAAGATGCAGAGCAGCTGTCGTGGCAACCTGATAGGGGGCTAAAAATGGAGCTGAGGGAAGAGCCCACGGCAGCGGAGAGCCCCGCAGGAACACACAGGGGTCCGGTTACTGTGGGTGCACGAAGGAGGCAATGGAAGGG